TATGTGACTCCTTTTTGATGTGTAACGATTCATCTATGTAAACATCCTATAGGACAAGAGAAGCACCAGCTTGTAAGCTATTCCCATAACAAAATTTTACTTTAAGTGACATTATTACCAAGCTCTCGGTTGATACAATCACGTGTCCTTTGACCACGGTGCGTCCGAGTATATTTATTGTACTATATAATTACGTTTCTATTTCATGCATGAGGTCACTTACGGCATAACTCAATCCGGTTTAATAATGATTCAGGACTGACTTTTCAATGGTGGAAGAGAGAGAAATCCCGAACGAAATTTTACAAATGAATGACTATCACTTGATCCGGGTTGACCGTTCCACGGGTATCCGTAAACGAGGCGATGTAGCAAGTAACGTTAGCAACAACTGAAGTAAATTAACCGCCCTCATGTACGAATACTCAACGGATAAAATCAGTTGCCACGTTATCGAAAGTTTCTGAGCGGGTGTCGTTCCATACTTCTGGGAAACTTTCACCTGTCACCCACAATATCAGCGGCTGCCTTAGAGGTTTTCTGAATTTTTTTTAAAATCCATTATATTAAGAACAGGCGATGCTTTGTATGTCGTTGCTGGTGATTTTAACAGACATGATATAACTTTTCTCACTGCACTGGGTCTACAGAATTTAGTACAGTTTCGTAACAGACTCAATTCACAACTGGATTTCGCTTTTACAATTAGACCGCAAGTTTTCAAAGTCCAGAAATGTGCTCCTCTGAGCGATTCAGATCATTGTATCTCAAAAGTATATCCAACTGTACACAGTAAAACTAACCGGTACCCGTTTTTAAGAAGACTATCCAAGATAATGAGTCAAAGAAATTGTTCATCGGAGGTCCTAGAACGGCTAAGATCGCTGATTTCCGCCACAGAGTTTTCGATGGTTCCGGATCAGAACCCTTCTGTCGCCTGTGCACATGTTACGGACTACATTAATCTTTGCTTTAACCAGCGTTGCCCACTCGAAACTTTCTTCGTTCATAAATATAGATATTCATCACCGCTACTAAAATAGTTACGCAGGCGGAGAGAACAGGCCTATAAGTACGGACAAAGAACCCATGTAAAGCGGCTTACAATTTCGATCAAAGGTGAAATAAATCGTTTGAACAAATTGTACATGGACACTACCCTGAGAAACCCCAGTTGCCGTGGCATGTGGAGAGCTATCAACCGCCTGTGTGGCAGTAGCAATAAACACAAAAGAGAAACTGTCGACGTTGAAAGACTAAATTCCGAGTTTAGTGCAGTTTCACAGTGCACTGCCCTGTCAAACTTAGTCAGCTCTATGCTCAGATCAACTATCGAAAGCGACACGGTCCTCCAACAGCCACTGAAAACAAAGACGAAGAAAGCACCGGGTGTGGATGAACTATCACCCGTGGTACTGAAGGTATGTACGGACACTGTTTCAGACCCATTGTCTAAAATATCCAATGACTTTCTGGTAAGCCGCCGATCGGGATTGACCCACGCGCGTCAAGGTGTAGAGACTCAGCGGAATTCCAGGCTGTCACAGTACGACGTGTCAGATCGCAACTTTCTAAGCCGGCCGAATGCAGAGCATTCATGATTAGTGAGCAGTGCTGATTTATGTCATCGGGTGGGATTGGTTCTAGCTTTTCAGCCAGCACGTTGTGAAAGATAGTTAGGCAATCTGGTTTGGATAGCTTGCCACAGTCTAACCGTCGTTGTGTTGTACGTTTAAAAAGCCCACCGAAGTACATGCACAAACTGACGCATGCTAATGTGTGGTCCGATTTCGAAGGGAATGCTCCAGTACGATGGGTAGCCTTGAAGGCAGTCCTGCCACTAGTTTATAGCGATGTAGTTGACCTGGGTCTGTCACTGATTCGAGGATTGCGGACGCCAAGCGGCGTAATTATTTGGAGCGTCTGAAGTTCGTACTAGCGAGGAATGTGTGGTGGTCGGAACAGAGACAATAGCCGTTCTTTTTCCGAGCGACAGGAATCTAGTCCGAAAGGACCTCCCACGTGCACCTCACTCGAAGTAAGCCAACCTATTCTAGCAGTCATATCCGCTACTAAAACGACGATATCAGGCCGACTTGCTTTACACAACAGGTCGTGTAGATAATGGTAAAATTCATCTTTGACTGCATCTGGCGTGGAGTCCGATGGGGCGTACGCCGCTAAGACAAACAAGTTTCGTTTATCGAGCGCGATGGCTGCTTGCTTTGCACAAACCTTGAGGTTTAGGGCGCAAAACCTACTGTCGACTACAATCTAATTTAGGATCGCGGTTTTAGCTCTCTCATTGAGAGCCATATCAACGCCAACAAGACCGAAAGGTGCAGTCTCAGGGTCCCAGGATAGGCGTAAATAGAACTTCGAAGATTGGCTTGATAGCAGACGTTATTCGGATAATGGAGCTGGAATCTTGAATGTGGGTATCTCGGATACATCACATATCCTTATCTATGGTCTCGAGCGTACGAGATAAACACGTGTGTTGTCCTATACGCATCAGAGTACACATATTAATCGTGTATAGTTTTAACGGACATGGACGACGAAGAAGGGCTTCAGCTGGTGGGGATTTCGATGAGACTTGGACAGCAGCCGAACTTGTTCTTGTAGAAAGAAGTATTCTAATGGAAAGTCTTTTATGTAGTGTTAAGTAGATACACCGATAAATTATACTTTTCCCTAATAAATCGACAAATGAAATATTACAAACTGCTGATATAAAATATATAACATCTCATCCGGAAGCGACTGGAAAATATATTCCCAAAAACGTTGGTCGAGGTGTGTGGCTCACTGAATAAGCGTTTTGTCGTGTCACCATGCTCGAAACGAATGTCACTGTTCGGAAAACTATAGCCAAGTTTGAATTAACACTGAAATCAATTATTGTCAAGGTATTAGTGAATGCCCAACAAAGGAGGTCACGAACGGGTTTTGCAATTACCTTCAAATTGCACCATCCTTCTATTTGGTAGTCGATTTACCTCACTAAACAATGTGATGGTGGGCGAGCAACACAACAGATGGATAAAGGTGACTTGTTGACCTAATTTGACAAAGAAATCCTATTCACCATCTATAAGGTCGTGGTGGCGCAGTGGTTTAGGCGCTGTTAGGACAGAACGCACAAAATCCCTCCTGCCACGCAGCGACGCGCGTCACACCACAAGTGCGCTCGTGACGCCGAAGCCGAATCGACTCCTGATTGAATGACTAAGGCGAATCAAATAGCTGTCGTCCGGTCGATCAACCTGAGTGTCAAGGTCACGATCTGATTGGCGCGTCACCACGTCTGCTCGCGTACGCCCAATTGACCACATATATTTGCTTGTTGTTTCATGATCAAGAATACGCTCTGACTGTCGTTTCTCAGCAGTGTTCTTTCTCCAGTGTTGGGGCCTAGACAAAGAGGCGTACGTATCGATCACATCGTCTTGATGCAAGACATAATAGGCGCTGTCACCCGCGTGCTTTGGACCCTATGATCCGAGGTTCGAGCCCCTCCCCCGCCACCCGACTTCGGTGGTAGGCAGATCTGTTGTCGTCCGGTTCATTACCACGCCTAACCTTTCGGGGTCTTATGTGGTTCACCACTTCAAGTCGCGAGGCTTAGGTTGCCAGTTTCCATCACTGAACAGCAGGCCCTCGTGACTATGGGGTTTACCCTGTCTGCTGTTCATCACACGAAAGTGTAATAAGTCGTACTATTACAAGGTCAAGCTCAATGTCACATCGCACGCGAGATTTATCTTGGAGATTTTCCGAACACCTTATGTATTTTTAGTATTTAAACTGGTTTGGGATCGGTATGTTCCGAAGCTGAATTCATTCAGTTATTGCTTAGCAGTGTTTGAGATGGGAATAAGCTAGCCACCTCATGAGTGGTTGTAAGAGGCCAGAATGCGGCATGTATGAGAGAAAAGTGAATGTCAATTTACTGGACTCTATAATGAATCCCTGGCCGAAGGGCTCAAAAGTAAGGAACGGCACACTGGGTATTGGAAAATTTAAATTACAATACCCATCACATATGAGTCACCGTTATAAATAAATTTACCGGGTATTTTCCTTCTGAGGTTTCGTTATTTTAACACTGATGCCCC